GATCGTAGAAGAGGCCGGCGAAAAGGGCGACACATCAAAAAAGTCTGGCTTGAAGTGGGCCCGTCTTGGCTGACATTACGTTGCTGAGTTCGCTGCAGAGTCAAAGACGGTGGCTTGCGGGAGGATGGTTTCTTGGCCGCATCGACCCGCTTAGCCTCCACCTCAAGCATGTCGGCAACTGCTGATGGCAAGATTTAACTCCTTCGTAAGGAATATGCATCGCATCAAGGGCGTTGGATCTTCTCGTTGAAGTTGCCAGACAGGATATTCGAGCAAGCACGGGCGATGTATTCCGACAAAAGGAGAAGAAAGGCCGTGCAGCGGAGCCCGAAGGGGTCAGCTTTGTCAGGCTTTGTGAGCATGGATTCCAGCAGGGACTTGTCTTTATTCCAGTATGTCGCCTTAGCAGACGGTTTTCCCAAATCAGCAGAGATTTTGTGTTTGGCTGCTTCTGGAAAGTCTGTAATTGACAAGAAATTCTTAAAATCTTCCGGAGGGAAATGATAAAATGCTGTTGCTTGGTTAGGAAGGGCACGCTATTCCTTTGACTTATCAAGGGACTTGAAGATTTCTACACATGAGTGGTCAAGCGGGAGTTCAGGAAAATAGGTCCCATAGACTCCATTCAAGCCGCATGGCGTTTGAACGAGCCGTGGCCAGAGTCCTCTTCGGGCGGAGTGGCTGATGGCAGGCCGAGCACTTAGAGTGACGGCACTGACAGAGCCAACTGCATCCTCGTCCGAAGAAAATGCTGGTTGTACAGTCAGAGACAGCTCCGTACCTCGCTCTGAGGCACGGGTGCCCTCCCGGGGGGCGGCCCGTTCTGACGGCTCGGAAACGCCCTGCTCTTACGAGTCCGGTGTAGAACTCCGTCCCGTGTCTCGGTTGACTTGCAGCCGAGGGAGGTGGAAGGGTCTGGTCTGCTAAGAACGGGTCCGGAGCGGTGGAGGCCAATGGTGGCTTCATTAATAGATAGAAAGACCAACATCCACTGCAAAGAATAAGCCCCTGATCGGAGCGGTGTCTCTTCTTAGATTTCGAAGAACTCGATAAAGAGGGGGAACGTTTGTGCTTCCCGGTAGTGGATGACCCGACAACGGAGATAGTAGGCGGGGCCGTGGGCGACGGAACACCCGGGGAACATTCCCGGTCGAGGTCGGCGGGAACTCCTGGTCCTTCCGCCTGGAAGGACCAGGAGAGATAAGGTCCGATGACCCGGTAATGCCCAGTTGAAAGCCCGAGCTTCGAATGGGCTTCGGTGGTTTGAAGCCCCGGGGGCATAAAAGCCCAAGAGGCTCTGCGGAGCCTGACGAAGAACTGCCCGGCTGCGGGGTATCATGGCTCGGTGGTGCACCAGGCAGGGTGGGTCCCGGCACTTGCGAGGAGCCCGAGCCGGTGGCTTCGAAAGCTGGGCCGCAATGAGTACGCCCAGAAACTGCTGGAGAAGTAGTCTTCTTTGCTAACTGATGGTGGGTGTTCTTCGGAGTCGCCGGGGGAGTGCTGGCTGGAACCCCGAGTGGGTTCCTCTGGGCCATGGCGGTCGGAGGGCGTGGCATGCGGTGATGGTAAGGCGGGCCCGGAAGATGTCCGCTTGGAGTACTCCCTCGGAAGTCCCGGTTGGCTCGCAACGCCAGCGATTGACCAAAGAGACAGGGTCCTTGCCAGATTGTGGCGGTGTCCCTGCTCGGGTCTTCCACAGTCAACCACGGAGCTTCCCCGTCAGCTCCGTGGGGCCGAACGAACCAGGGGCCTGGCCAGATTCAGGCTGGAGCCCCCTTGACAACGGCAAGGCCTTTTCCTTGTCTTAGTAGCCGGAGAAGAGGGGGGAGTATGACAGATCCTGACAGCGACCCCCTGAAATCACATATGCAGCAAGGTATGAGAGAACCCCTCCTGCTTTGTGTTGGTCATTGTCTCGCAGGAATCTGGGGAATTCCTTTCAGACATCTTGGGGGATGTGTTAAGTAACAATAGTCTGGAATGTGTACAGGGATTGGACATGTTGGGGGGTACCCCTCGGTCTCACTTCTTGCTGGGTATATGAAATCAACCGAGTAAGGCCTAGAATCAACCGGTAAGGTAGACACGGGCGTAACTGAGTAGAACCTCCTAGTACTGACAGTAAATACCTGCAGGGTGCACATAAGAAAAACAGAAGAAAAACACAAAAAAATATAAAAGAGAAAATACTCTTACCAACAAACAGGTAAAAATTCAAGGTCATACTTTATTCAAAAAGGTGATCAAATTGACCCGAAACCGATGAAGCAAAAACGGAAGCTCGAAATCGAAGATGCCTCGAAAGACATGTCCGCTACTTTACGGCGCTGAGAAAAGAAGGAAGATCATGGCGGCGAAACCGCGTTGCATTGTGGGAGGTCAGGGTGCACTACGCGTGATCAAATCCTTTCAGCAAACAATAATAGGTTCCTGGGAAATTTGCATATGTAGTGATTGTTTGGGTACGTAGAGCGCAGTAGACTGTGGCTTTTAAATGTTGAATTTAAAAGTTGCATTCAATCCTCGTTAATTTTGAAATAACATGGGATTTAGGGCTGGTTCGCCATTATCCCATTTGTCTTGTTTAAGCTACTTATGAAGAAAGGTTGCAGACACTGATTCAGAAATGAGAGGAACTTGTGTTTTAGAGTAGGAGCACTGCATAAATTAAGGGAGCCTCAGTCATCTCATTTTCTAAGAAAAAAGGTTTTCCAAATGTTTTGTACATGAATTATGATATATTCAAACCTCAATGTAAATATTTATTTAATATAATTGCATTTTAAATATAAATACACATATGTATATATATTATTCCAAGGTAAAAACAAATTAAAATGTGGAAAAGTCTTTCAAATTGAAATTGGCGTAATGTTAATGTGTTATTAATGTGTCAAATTCAGTTGAAATGTTGAATCTTGTGTAAGTGTGTATTTTATTTCTGAAAATGTGATTAGTGTGACCAACCAACAGTCACGGAATAGATCAATTAGTCAGAATGACAAATTAATCTTTTTGCATGACTGATTCATTTTTATGTATTACAAATTAATTTTTATGCATTACTTTTTAACCCTCCTTCTGTTTTAACCGTCAAAACAGTCAAAAATGCCTTCCACTTGATTTCTCCCAGGATACAAACCCATATGGGAAATTTGACTGATTTTGACTGATATGACAACTGTGTCAAGAATGTATCTAAGCATAGGAGGGTTAATATTTTGACATTACTAATTAAGTATAGAAGCATGAAATGTCACCAAACTTGATGCAAGAAGTTGTGACACCACCATCCACCATAAACTTGAAGACAAAAAACCCTTCATGAAGATTTCAAACATGCTGAGCAATGGGAAATTTTCCACTTCAGTGAATTTGTCCTTTGTTAAAAACCACTTTTCAATTGTTACCTTTAGCACATTATTACACATGAGTGACTTCTCATGGAAAATTTACTCTTTCAATTTTCTTTTTTGTATTTGTTTTGTAAAAGGGAGAGGACTACGGAAAACGATTAAGCCACCGTAGCAATGGTGGAGCTACAAGCTACAGGGCATGTCAAGTGCACTTGTGTACTGAGCATGAACACCTCGCAGCGCTGCAGCAAGCCTGCAGTTAGTGCGCAATGTAAGCGCGTGCAAGCTGGTATCATTTTGCCATTCGCAACCAATTAAAACAAGCAAATGCCATATGTCGTTTTCATTCTTGCGTTTGAGACTGTGGTGATGCAGATTTGCAAATAATGGCTGCCCTTTACAAAGCACAAAAAAGATGAGTTTAAGCGAATCACAGTAATGTTGCATAAAGATTGTTTTCTCATAAGATCCTTCTGATGAAACTTTCATAAAATCAACAGATCAAGACCATGAACCAGTAGAGTCATGAGTTTCAAGTATTATGTAACCTGTACTCTGGCTTATTCGTCCATACTTTCATTCACGGTATCTGTATGAGATTGAGAAAGATACATGTACCACTCCAAGCAAGAAATTTAGCTCATTAACGCAGTTGACACTAATCCACTTAAATCCCCATTATTTATCAGTGGAGGGCATGAGAAGTAAACTCTCAATTCAGTGACTTTGAAATGCTGACGGGCCAGACCGGCCAGTACAGGCCAAGAGAGGCAGTTGTACTGGCCGAGCATTATACTGGCCACAAAACAGGCACGCAGTCTCGGCCTGCAGAGACACCGGCTGGCAGTGGACGCTACGCCTTTCACTGTGGTCAAAAGTGTGTCAGGTGAGACCATTAACATTCCCCTGTGATTTTCTAGCCAACTCCACGCTAGGGGGTCATCCAGATTCCAGCTACTTCATTTTATATGTACTATGCCTCATTAGTATGTACTAGGCCATATTGTGGGTTATGCCTGCCCAACAGCTGGTCCAAATGGGCAAGGTTGCTGGCTGGAAGTGTTGAGACAACGGATTAGATCTCATTTAGCACTGTTAGCCTTTGATAGCCATGGTTCCTAAAGTCTTACCTTTATTGCCTCATGCGATAAGAAAGTGTTTTACTACAGACCATTGTGCTCATGATTTATTGAGAGAACTTCAACTTTTTGTGTTTTACTGAAGACTCTCTGACTTGGACAGTGTTCTTTACAGTTTGCTATTGCCACTGCTGTGTCTTGTATATCTTAAATTGATATTCTCTAACTTGTATAATCATTCTCTATTTCTTTTCCTTCAGTCAAGTACACCACCTATTTCTCCTACATGCAATAAAGTTTATGCACACTTGTAAACCAAGAAACTTCCTGTGCCACATAAATGAAACATGGATGATCCTCTTATACTACATATATAAACTCGTAATTTTTACCAGTGGCTCTAGCAATTTTCAAGGAGCACACAGCCTGTTTTTTTTGACAGAGTGGTACTTATTTGGGCTAAAAGTAAACACTGTAAGAAAGTCAAGGCACTTAAATTTTTCCCAAGATCAAACAAGCCTTGAAATAATGTATGAGGACCAAGTCCTTATATACATCAACCTACCTTGTTCATTATGTCAGTCTCCAATAAATCTGCTAATTCTGATGCAAATACCTCAATATGTGCAGGTTGGAACATCTCTCCGCAGACTCCTTTGTGCGTTGCCACCTTAGCTTTTGTCATAGGTTTCACTTTACTACCTACCCTAAAAGTACAAGAAAATAAATTGACGTCAGACTAATTGGTGAGTCAGAATGTAAATTTCAGTTTATAGTTGGTGTGCTACCGGTACATGCTTCCTTTACTATATTTTGTTCCTCAAAGTCAAAAGTCTTTAGCCACACCAAAGAAATAAGTGTCGTCAAAGTTATCGAAGCAGAGAGTGCAAGATTTTCAATTTCAAAAAACTGATTTAAAAAACTGATATACAGTCGACTCTCGTTATTACAAACTTGGCTAGAACAAAACTCTGGTTATAACAAACACAAGTCTGTGGTCAGTCCTGGCGAAATCTGTTACAGTGAAATAGCAATGTGTGAAATTCCTGTTACAACGAATGGTTTTGTGGCTCCATTGCCTGAAAACCATTGTTGACAGCCCATTTATAACAAATGTTTGCGAATCGCGGTGGTGAAAACATGTGCGCAGTGCATCACACTGGTTCCTGCCGGGCCAAACCGTTGTCAAAGAAGGCATGAGGGAAATGTGGCAACCAGTCAATGTACAGTTCCTGCCAAAAAGGGTCACTGACGTTCCACTGCATGTACAGTGTACATCTTATAGCCTACGAATGCAGCAGTTGCAAGTCGAAAAACACTGCTGTAACACATTTTTCTGTATGTTCATTCACAAAAATTGATCTCATATCTATGTTTGTGTTTTCTGTGTTCATGTGTTAAATTTGAAAATGTACTGCTCGTACTCGAAACGAGGCTAATCGCCTGCCCCTCCAGATGTGTCACGCATTCTTACAATGCGATACACAGACATGCTTTGCCAGTTTCCTGTAGTCATGACAAGCGTAAAGCACCAATAAAAATCAGTGATTTTCTACATTGAGTACACAAACGTCAAAAAAAAATTCGCTTCCCAATTCCGATAAAAATACGCCCAAATACGTTCGCTTGACTACTCCCACATCTCAAGAGCCCAACTAATTGCTGAACACTGAATTATTCATATTGCTGCAAAAAAATCTAGCGTACTCACCAATGAGACTGTGCATTTTCAAGACGTACATTTTGCAAGACACAGCTTATCCAATTGCAATATTCCTTCATAATATCATACTCCTTCAGCGACCATCTCACGTGCGGGCGGCAGCGCCACAGTGGGCGAGTGAACTCAGACTATCTATGTCTACAGCTAGTGTCCAAAATCATAAGACAGATGGATAATTAAATAAGAATGTCTCTCTGTGACACAATTTGTGTTGGAAAGACTATTTGCATGGATGGGGGCTCCATTTGATAAGTCTTCACATACTTGCATGTACACCCAGATTTGCATGTACACCCAGACATACATGTGCATGCACTTTAGCTTCGTTTTTATCCATGGCGATTGAAAGCCTTTCAAAAATCCCTGGATCGATGCTGTCACATGTATTTGCTTTTTTTAAATCTCACAAGCACATTAAACATGTTTTCATATGACAGTGAATTTTATTATTCTAAACAGATCACAGTATACTTGATTAACTATAACCGCGAGATCTTTTTGCAGTGCATGCATAAACGTGCATATGTACAACAATGCACCGAAGTCATTGCCCTGTGTTCCACCTATAACGAATTTCGAAGAGAACGAACGTTTCTACGTGGATTTCGTAATGAGAGTCGACTTTATGTTGAAATGCAGTTTTGACTTCAAGAAGCATTATCAGCTGCAAATTTTGTGAAGCGGGTGTTCAGTTAAGAAAATTCGCAGAGCAAATTCGGTACCAACTTACGTAAAAAAATTATGTTCACATTCGCGGTTATTATGTGAGAGTTGGCAAATATTGAACATAATTTGCCCTCTGGCGAATTTTATAGCAGCAAATGCATTATGACATCATTATCGGTGTGAACCTGCATTAAAGGAAACTGTATTAGGGTCCATTATTCTACCTTTACATCATGAATTTTGAGTTGTACTTCACGCGAATGCGATGTGAAGTAAAATAACGTCACTATACAAAACCTCCCCTTCCCAAAACCCTGTGCCTGTACAGGGCATTGTACACTTGAGCAGATCACCTGAGTGCTAATGACTTTACGCATATGCATGATGTATGTCGATAGACGAGGTGCGCCCTGGATGGTCCATCACGTTCATATGACTCGGCTCTTCCATTTTCTTCAAGGGGAGGGATGAAACCCCATGTAAACAATGCCAGGAAAGCTTACAGCAAACAAAATAATTTTAATCACTTTACACAGACAGTAATTATGACTATAAGCAAACAGAACTTTTTCTTTCACAAAGATACAATTAATAAAAAGAAATGAATACAAAAAAGAATAAATGATCCCTATTTTGGTGAATGAATTCAACCCGGCACCAGTTTACAATTCAGCCTTCCCACGACGGAGGAATTACGGGGAACAATTTGGTATATCACAGATCACAAAATTAAACACTGATTTGTAATACAAAATTTCCGACAAATACAGAAGACTCTATCACAATGTGTACATTCGTTGGGCATGGTGCATTGCCAGCGTGTGGCTGCTCAGAGCAGGTGATCGCGAGTATATGGTGTGCATAAGTGGCGCAGTGCTGCATGCTCTGCGGGGCCTGGCGGGTACTGTGTAGTTGCGGGTACATACATGTACATTCAACTAATTGCATGTCATCACTGAACCTGTACCAATCATTTATGTCAGGAGTTCCGAACTCAGATTAGTATAATAGCTGACGATTATAATGAATATGCCCTTCCAATCGCAGATTGGCCGGACTCTCCTGTACACCCAGGTCATGAAATCAGCCGTTCCAATTGCAGACTTTCCAGTTGACATTGATATTTAAATGACCTGACCTAAATTTGGATAGGGCGTTCTGAACGTGATCGGAAAGTGGTGGAATATTCATGTTTGCAGATTAACATACACCGTTCTTGCTGCATACGGTCATCGTTGTCAAATGCTCTTTTGTTAAAAAAAGTTCGCGAACTCCAGCAGACTTCCCTCAAGAAGAACAGTCAGGCCTTACTGGTAAGCCCCCTAAGGTATCGGAACGGTATCACGGCTTGAGCTCTATGAACAGTTGGACCCAAGTACACAGCGACATACTGTACATGTACATGTATGTGACTGATTTGCCAAACAGAGGCCTAGCAGCTGATTCCATTCTAAATGTGTGTAGGAAAATTTTAATAAATCGTTGTTGTGAAAGCTCTCATACAGATAACAGATGCCTTCAAATCAAAAAGAAAAAGCTGCTAACTTGTCTGAAACTGCTTAAATATAATAACTCTTCCCTCAAGTATAGGAAAAATGTTGATTACTCAGTTACTTTTATTCCAAATTCTAACATTATGAAGTTCTAAATAACCTCCCTAAACTTCTCAGTGGTATAGCCAGCAGATGTCGTTGTTTAGCCTTTATTCAATGCTTTGACCATTAAAGGCAATATGAATAATTCACAATTGACTGATGACTGAAGGATGCTGGCCAATGATTGCAGTCACAGTCTCGCAACATCATTTTGGCACTGGCTAAAATGGGCGGGCATCTGGCACACTTTCTAAGATTGGAGCTGCACAGTGCGGCCACGTGGTAGGGTTTCCATGCCTGTCATCTTATTTGTTGAAAGGGACCATGCCACAATGGGACTGTAGATAAATTAATCAAAGGCATTCTGTCTGAACTTTTAAGGTCTGCTAGTGCAGTAAGTAATCACATTTACTATTACATTGGGAAATTCTCATTTGTGTAAAATTTTTATATTCATTTCACAAGTGTTTTGAGTTCAATAAACCGTTCAATTGATAGAAAGGAACAATAATTTGAAATTATACTGTGGGGAGCTGCCAATGTTTGATCGTGAGTGGAGCACACCTCAACCTTTCACCTTTATGTTTATATTGTTGCATGGCAACATATCTCATCACTTTCAAACTTACATGTCGTTTTTATACACCTGTATTAGAAATAGTTCTGGTTTCTCTTATGATGGATGTGCTTGAATTGCCTGGGATTCCCTCAAGACACTTTTGGAATAGTCTTTGTTACATTCCTGGATTTAATTACAGGGCAGTATCAAAGTTATTTAGGGGCATTGTATGTTTTTACTATTTATACCGCGCACGGAGACGCCATTCCCTGCTAGTTTTTGCTGAGCCCACTGTGTCCCGTGCGCGTTCCTCTTCCATGGCTGCCACTTCACAGACAGAAGGCCCAGCTTTCCGCCCGGCTTTTCGTCATATTTTTGCCTTTGCAGAGGCTTCAGGCCTGGGCCTGCGGACCTTTCTTTTGGTACCTCAAGCATCAAGTTCTCCAGCAGTTTGAGATAGCCAAGGCTGGGTTAAGTTTGTATTGTACATGTATAAAGATTTGCAATTGAAGGAAGAGCTGTTCAAGGAATGTACTTTTCCTCATCGATTGACTTTATAAATGTATCAATTCTTGGGTTGTATGTAGTGTAGACCAACTATACCCATTGAAAATAACTATACCCAATAGAGATAACTTCGAAGTTTGACTGAATTGTTGAGATTCCTCTCGCAGATACTATTTAGACTCTAATTGTGCTTGTGTCACTTAAACATCATCCCATTCGACCATTTCTTTTATTCGCTATTTTGGTTTGATTGTGGAGTTAAGTTCCCTTTTATTCAGTATTTAAATTAAGATTATTTCGGCTTGTTTCTAGTACAACTTTACCATTTTCCTTGTGCTTTATGCAGCAATTAGGGTGTACATGTACATGTATCTTCTTTTGTTGTATCCTGTTTTATATGAAGCTAGAGTCTTATTTTCTCTAGACATGTGTCTCTTTGCTCTGAGGTCTACAGCAGCTCTCTTCCATACATGTACAGTATAAAGATTTGTAATTGAAGGAAGAGCTGTTTACATGTAGAGATGATTCTAAATCTAGTTACCACTGTTACTTTTAGCTGTATTAGTTTCTTATTAGTTTAAGGTTGGCTTATTTCTTGTGTGCTGCTTACATTTCTGTTTACTGATGGCCTTCTATAGTTAGTAATTTCATGTAAAA